ATTTAAACCGGCTTTAGTTTACAATCATAGATTAGTTGACAATACTTTTGAGCAATACAACATACAATGAGTGGTATATGAGTATTTAATCATATCAAAAATAATTCAAGATAATAAAAGAGTTAGTTCATAGTTTTTTGTGCATATTAGCTCAGAAAATATATGATTAAGTCGAAGTGTCTTCACTATCTTTGAAATTATCCCGAAAAAAATATTATGTAAATGGTTGTGTGCTGGATTACTAATATATGCTTAGTAATAGAAATTACTACATTTCTACACTTGCTAACTATCTTAGAATGAAGTTTTTGCCTTAATGGTAATTAGAAAGTATGTTCTTTTCAGTTGCATTGAATTATACTTTCAGTGTCAATGAGTAAAATTTCAAAGAGGTCACTTTTTCACTTAGCTAGGCAGCATTGTGTTTCAACCAAAGGCACACAACACGGTCCCGACCGAAAGCTGCTACCTTGACGTGGTGGTCGGGCTTGAACACCGCAATGATCTATTCAAGCTATACTGGCTGAGACTTATGTCTCTTCAGGTCCTACCATGCCAGAAAGGTTGTTTGGATAGCGGTTAAACAAAAAGCAGCTACCCAATCCAAAATCATGATAAATACACAATCACAAAATTTCATGCCGGATCGGCCGTGGCCCGGATTAACAACGACCGCGCTTCCTGCTGCCGTGTCACAGGGCAGGAGTGATAAGTATGCTACTGAGACACACAAAACACCAAACAACGAACAGAAACAGGCCGCGTGTGACCGGCCTCAAGCAGTTGTCCCCTGGGCTCTGCGGTGACGCAACCAACTTCCACGGTGTGGGCAGCCGGGAAGTAACAATCGCCCTCACAATCCGAAACGCACGCGAAACCTCTCTAATCCTCACTCATCTTTGTTTCATCTTTTTAATTAATGTCAGGACACTGTGCCAAATAGGACAACAAGCATCACTAGCCAAGACCCTGGCATCACGAGCCATTGATGTATGCTGTGTTTCAGAAACACGCATACAAGACCCAAGTGTGGTTATTCACCTAACCCCACCTGGCCAACAGGTTGAATCTGCAAAATTCACCTTGAGGGTGTCAGGAGATGCCACAGCTAGTTCACGAGGATTAGCTGGCGTAGGGATAGCTTTGAGTACTAGGGCAGAAAAGACATTGCTTGACTGGATCCCGGTAGATAGCCGAATGTGTGCTGTCCGCCTGAACGGATCAGTAAGAAGGAGGAAGGACTGCACTACTCGCCGATGCCTTTTCGTAATCTCCGCCTACGCCCCCACTGACTGCAGTTCAGATGAAACGAAGGATGAGTTCTACCAAAAGCTGTCTAGTTTGGTGGAAAGGCTAAACGCTCAGACATAGTCGTTCTAGCTGGTGACTTTAACGCTCAAGTAGGGAAATTGTGTCAATCTGAGAAGGATGTCGGTGGCACCTATGGAGTCCGTGCCAGCGAACCGACAACGGTGACCGTCTCCTACAGTTCTGCTCTGATAATCATTTGTTTCTTGTAAGCACTAACTTCAAACACAAGGAGAGACACTGTTTGACTTGGAGACCCCCTTCATCAAACCAACGCTGGACACAAATAGACCACATAGCAATAAGCTATCGTTGGCGTGGGTCGGTAGGAGATTGTCGCTCCTTCTGGAACACGTGCGTAGATACCGACCATGCACTGGTCCGCGCTCGGGTGTGCTTACGACTGAACGGACGTAGGAAACAGCTGGCGGTAAAACCATCACGTCCCCAGCTCGATCAGGAAACTAAATCCGTATTTGAGGAAGAACTAGCTAAACACATATCTGTGTTCGACAGCTGTGCTCACCCTGAAGAAGCTTGGAAAAATATCCAGGCAGCCATAGATACAGCTGTAAAAGCTGTGAATAAGGTAAACCCAAAGGTGAGTAAAAACCACTGGATCTCCACCGCCTCATCCGAACTGATAGATGCTAGAAGACTTATTCCGGCGAGCTCCGAATTCAATGAGGAGCGAAAGCTGCACAAGAGGAAACTTACGAAAAGTCTCCGCAAGGACCGTGAACAGTGGTGGGCGACAAAAGCCAAAGAGATGGAGAAAGCTTCGAGGATAGGCAACACCAGGCAACTCTTTAGACTCATCAGGGAAACGGGTGGGAGAAGACAAATCATTAGTGAGACAATCTCGGAAAAAAATGGCACTATAATTAGCTCCCAGGATAGACGACTGGATCGTTGGAAAGAGCATTATGAGGAGCAGTTTAATTTGCCCACAGCCACGCTCAACCTTCCGAGCATCCAACACCTCCCTGAATGGGATATAGACACAGGTCCTCCGTCCCTAACTGAGGTTACTAAAGCTGTCACCAATCTGAAACTAGGCAAAGCAGCGGGACCTGATGGAATGACTCCAGAGGTATTTAAGTACGGTGGAGACAGCTTACTGTCCGGATTAACTGAGGTACTAGGCAGCGTCTGGGAATCAGAAGAAGTCCCATCGGGTTGGTGTAAGTCACTGATTATCCCCATATACAAGAAGGGAGACAAGTCTTCCTGTGATAATCACAGAGGGATTAGCTTGACTAATATAGTATCTAAAGTCTTAGGCTCAATAATCATGCGTAGACTGAGTGGTGCTCGGGAAGCACAAACACGAGAGAGCCAGGCAGGCTTTAGACCAGGAAGAGGGTGTATTGATCATATCTTCACCCTCCGACAGATTCTAGAACATAGGCATTCCTACCGGCGTCCAACAGTCATTATATTTCTTGACCTAAAGGCAGCATTCGACTCTGTCGATCGGAAGTTCTCTGGAGATGCTTGGCTGTAAAGGGAATTCCGAGAAAATATATTGCACTGATTAAGGCACTCTACTCGTACTCATACAGCCAGGTGAGGGCTTACGGCGAGCTGTCATCTGAACTGATGACGACCAGTGGTGTCCGTCAAGGATGCCCATTATCTCCTTTTCTATTCAACTTCATCATAGATGTGTTAATGGACTTAACCCTAGGTGACTTCAGCGACTCAGGGATTGACTTGCTACCGGGAATAATCTCGTTGACTTGGAATATGCAGACGATATAGTCCTTCTAGGCGAAGACGCTGACGAAATGCAGAGTCTTCTAAACACCTTGAGCCGCAATCTACGAATGTTTGGCATGCGATTCGCTCCCGCCAAATGCAAGATGATGTTACAGGACTGGACTACATCGACGCCTAGTTTAAAAATAGGAAGTGAAGTGGTAGAGCACGTTGACCGCTTCACTTATTTGGGAAGTACCATCAGCCCCAACGGGCTGATCTCTGACGAAATCTCAGCACGAATACAAGGGGCTCGTTTCGCATTTGTTAGTTTACGCCGACTCTGGCGTAGACGAGATGTTCGACTATCGACCAAAGGGCGGGTGTACTGCTCATCAGTCCGCTCCGTCCTCCTTTATGGTTGTGAGACCTGGCCACTGAGAGTGGAAGACATGAAAAGACTAGCTGTCTTTGATCATAGGTGCCTGCGTTCTATTTCCCGTGTAAAGTGGCATAATAAGGTGAGCAACATGGAGGTTAGGCGTAGAGTTCTAGGTAAACAGGGAAATCAATCGACGAAGTCGTGAAGCTACAAAGACTGAGATGGTTAGGACATGTGTTACGTATGCCAAGCCATCGCCTCCCTCGACGAGCAATGTTAGCGGATATAGGGTCAGGCTGGAAAAAAGCTAGCGGCGGTCAAACAAAAACTTGGCATCAGTCAATGAAATCCACAACAGTTGGTCTAAGCCACGTAGGAAGGTGTAGACTTCCAGGCTGGGGTCCTCGGGACGGTAAAAATCTATGGTTGGAAACAATTGGTGACATGGCTCAAAATCGTTCTCAGTGGCGCAGATGCATCCACTCCTTGTGCTTATGATCTCCAATGAAACTGTTTTGTTCTTCTTTATTACTCCTTTGTCTCACACCTCTGCTCACTGTTTCTATTATGCTTTTCTTGTACTTTCTTCTCTTGCTTCGCGTGCTACACGGAATGTGGCGACTTGAACTTCCGCACATTTGTGCAAAGTTCTATGTCGAAAACAGACAGACAGACAGACACAACACGGATAATGATTTCAAAGCCACGATTGGAAAGTCAGTAGAGACTTTTATTACACTATAATCAGTTTGAAAGTCATCTGCCCTCAGCATAAACAACTATCTCAGTTATTCTATTGAGTTCAAAAACTTGGCGCGGCTCGTAAAGCATTTCCAACAGACTGCAAACTTCCATCAGCAGCTGCTTTCGCTCCATACCGAAGACTACATGATCATGAACCTATTACTCAAAAAAAGGATACCGGATAAAATGGAAATGGATCAGATACATGCTTAGGAGACAGCTGAGAGACACTGCGCCTCACTCAGGAAGACCCTCAAGTGAAACCCAAACGGAAAGAGATCAGTTCGGCATGGGTTTAAGGGTGACATGGATGAGGTCGTGTGAAAAGGAGATGACACCTTATGGGTACTCATAGTGCCAGCTAGAGAGGACTTTATAGAGCAGGATGAAATAGACGTATATTAAGTAAGCCAAGCAAATACTGCATCAAGTGCAATAAAATTATCTGTCACGGAGTAATACTCTACCACAGAGCCCAAGTTTTATACTTATATCAAGAACTAGCTTCAGGTTTAAACAAGCAGTTAACGCCGATTAGAATGAGAACAAACCAAGTACACTTATCTAATACATAAAATCAGCAATCTAAGCAATGATTTTGCTAGCCCTTAGGTAAAAATTAGATTTTAGCATTATTTATGAGATTATTGGCGGCAATCTTAAGTCTTGGGCTACCAAAATTTCCATCCTACATATTTTTTATTATTATTAAAGATAATGGTTATTGAACATAAAGTTATCTTAAACTGTGGCTAGATTCGCGCATTTTATAACCAACTAATCTCTGTTGTGACTTTTCTACCGAATAGATTTTTAGTTCACCCAGAAATTTTGTTTTGTATTGTCAGACAACCTTGACTGAAACCCCAAGAGTTTATTTATTTATTGGCGTTACCCTCTACTGGACTGACTGAATGACTGACTAAACTCGACGAACTCTGAAATGGCATAGATTTTTCGGTAATACATGTCTGAATCCTATGCCGTCTGCTCCTTAGCATGTGATATGAAAAGTGCAACAATAGCCCAATACACATGCAAAAAAAAACAACTATGTAAGAATACAGTGTGAGTTTAAGTAATGGAAAATTATAAAACAGTAAGTGAAGTAATTAAAGGATACAAATAATTGTCCAAAGAAGACAGCTTTTATTATATATAGTTAAAAAAGCAATGTCAATGACACAGAAATATAAGTTTTTAAATGACACTTCTTTTTCCAATCACCGATTCCTTCTAACCTGCTGACGGCATTACTTTAAGATGTTCAAATGCAGCTTTTTCTAAAGATTCTCTAGAAAGTGTAAATAGATAACATACAATAGTTAAAGTCGTTAGTGCAATAGATAACATGTTAAAAAATTTTCTCTTTCAGTTGGTTTAGTAAAAATAATTGACTAACGGTTTCATTTTACAGGTAAAAACAAAAAGAGGCTTGTTTGTTGGTCAATAAACTTTTCAGGATACAGTGAGCTCATATAAAATATGCAAAGGATATTAAATTCATATATGCACTGCTCAAAATGAGCAATATTTTGCATAGAATGGCATTATGTTAAAACACAAAAGATGGTATTTTAATGGTACCGCTTTGTTAGTTTACATGAACGTGGATTAGTGTATATGAGTGTGGCGCCTTCGTCTATCATATTCTTAGGGTTAGTATAGATGAAATGAGAGAAAAAGAGCCGCTGATGTAAAGTAAGGTTACAAAACAACCTTCATATTTGACGATTAATAATCTTAACTGTTTTAATCCTAAACGAACATCTGGACACTGAATTTTTGACTTTATCCAAGACAACTGTCAGAGTTTTAATGTTTTCTTCCTTAGGTCTTTATGATGAGATAAGAGGCCTGTATGCTTTTAAAGGTCATCCAGTACTACTCTAAACAAACTTAAGATCAAAATGAGAGTCTAGGCTTTGAAGTAAACCTTAAACTGCGTACATAACTGAAAATCCCTTTGATCTACATATGTTTTGATGACAACTAACCGTATATTTTCGAGAGTTAATTCGTAGGGACTTAATTTATTTCAAGTTTTGATCACGGATTGATATCAAGTATAGAGCCACCAAAAGTCAGGAAGTACTGAACATCCGTTTCGTCTAAGGTTGAGACTCTTTGACAGCACGCAACCATCAGGGTTCGAACTCAGGACTTGCTGGTTACAAGACAAGCTTTCACATCATTCATCTGCCAGGACACCGATTCAATGGCTCATAAACTCCAACTTCTACCTATTCGTGATTTTAGTGCGATCAGTAGCCACTGTGATACATAGTTATTTGTCCTTACACCTGACTTAATAAACCCTACTGGCCAAGACTTTTCACTAGAACTCCAGGCAACTCTCCCCTTTAGCCGACTGCTAGCTAGCCTTCAGTGGAATCAGATAAATACCTACATATAATTCGTCTGTTCAATGTATCAAGATACTCATCAGCTAATTCTCTAGAAATAATTCATCTGATTTCTAATCTTACTTCACTGAATTTCAGAGTATTTAGCTTTAGAAATATGGATGTTCAGATTTACGTTCGGAGTTCTATACTTTTTCCAGATTGCATAATAACTTAGAGTCTTGAAAGTGTCATTAATATTATATGTTGGGATAATAATACAATAATACAGTATTACTGTGTGGTGTATCAAATTAACCTAACTAATATATGCTAGAAGGACTTAACATTCAGGAAACTGCGAAAATGGTTCCTGTGTTTGTATGTGGTCATCAGCAAGGTATATATAAGATCTGTGGGAGACTAAAGTTCCCTGTGTGAGTCAGATGTGATAGTTTCAGTAGTATTGATATGTTCCAAAACTTTTTGAATTTTACCAATAAGTAATTTCAAGTGTGGCACTAGTGGAGTATAAGTTACAGTAGCATTATCCGCCCCCCCTTAATACATTCGGTTTGAATGCAAACAAATAACTAAAATAAACTACCTGTGTTTTGGATGTGCTATTTGAATTAGAGCATGGGCACGTTGTCTCAAGCATTTTCCAAACAAATAGGCAATCCCGTATTCTGTTACAATATAATGAGCATGAGCTCTGGTCGTCACGACACCAGCACCTTCTTTAATATACGAGGTGATTTTACTTTCTCCCTTATGGGTTGTGGATGTCAGGGCAATTATAGGCTTTCCCAAGCCATCCTCGGCTAGTGCAGCTCCACGAATGAAATCAACTTGACCACCGAATCCTATAGATGGGATAAATCAGAAATAAGACTAAAGGAGAAACACAAAACACGGTATTAATAATAAACTGAATTTGTGCTGGAGGGGTTAATGACTGAGTGTGTACACACCTTGAAAATTACACTATAAACGAGACATTGAAAAGTGTAATGAAGACAGAAGGTATTATTCTGAAAAATATGTCACGCGATCTGTGTCAGTGAGATCACATACGCTGTAATTTGTTACACAGATCAAAGTCATAATATGATTGCCACAAAACTTGACTAAAGTCCTGGTGTGTGAGTCCACTGACAAAAAATTTACACAAACTATTGCGCGCTGCTTTACCAACACTTGATTCCTAAGTTTCTTGAAACGGTTGACAAAAATTGACTTATTCCACATTGATCATCAGTTGTATGTGGCTAGTGATTACTTGTAAATAAGACAGGTTGGTATAGTCAGCCAACTGTGCGGGTAAAGTAGTGTGAATTTACTTAGGATACAACACCAAATCAATCAGAAAATCACGGTTAGTTTAATCCCATAATTATTGATTTTGATATATTTACAGGAAAACAGTTTTCCGCACTTCTCCCTACAGTCTGCAAAAACAATTAAACTAGACCAGTATTTCTGATGACACCTGGTTTTTCGTTCTGCTTGCATCGTTGTTTGTGCTGAAAACATACATCATTATCATTATGTCACAGCACTTTGTTTTCAGTGTGTGTTCGGCAGTGTTTCAACTAATGCAAATTCCATCCAAATACAGTTGATCAATCAGAGTATACAGAGAATACATATTCCTGAATTTCAGTATAAAGCCCAAAACGATTTCTAATGGTGGAAGAGCTCAGCTATTTGTTGATATTGATGAATTCCTCGTTTCATTAGACTTACTGTAATTTAATTTGCGATTGAGATCAATCTACACCCAATGCGAACTTCTATGGATATTCTCCTAAGAAAGATTCTATCATCACAGTATCCAATAACAGTGTTTAGAAATGATGGAAAAATTACATTGTCACCTAGTTTCAATCTTTAAAGTGTACAGTATGCAGTTGTGTGCAGTTAAGTAAAACAGATGGTTAGCAGTAGTTCATAAATTAACTTGATTGGAATTAATTTTCAAAAGAAAAATATGGATAACGAATTATAAACTTGAACTCACCTGAGTAAATTCTTGTACCGATAGAATCTGAAACAATCTGACCAGTTATGTCAACTTCAATGCAAGAATTGATTGCCACTGGTTTGGGATTCCTAGCTATTGTAGATGGTTTGTTCACCCAAGCAACATCACAGAAGTCTACAGGAATGAAATAAAATGGAATTGCGGGCATTAAACGGTGATCAGCACAATTTGTTTACACATATGAACATGGGTTATAATTATTATTATCTTATACCATTATTCCCTTGGGTTCCGAGAAGAACAGTGGGCTTCAAAAGCTCATCGCTGTTTCACCCTGTTCTGTGCAGTCATTCGTAGTCGGCTCCATGATTACCTATAAGCTTTCATTCCCTCCTAACACTATCTCATCTATGTTACTCTCGAACTCATTCGGAACTCGTGGTTTCCCATTAGGATTCAACTGGAGGATCTGTCTGTAACTTGATTTCACTGAACTGTCTCTCCGGCGTGTATTCAATACATACCCATCTCCTTCTGCATTAAATCTTGCGTAATAGGTTCTAACCATGGATTATTAAATTATAAGTTCTATTAACATCATTTCAACAAACCAAACTTTTAAAAACATTCTGCATGTCTTTCAGCAAGTTCAGGCCAATTAAAAAGTACACAACATATGTTGGATTGCTATAATATTACCATTACTATTAGTGTCTTCTTTAGTTCCTAAAAGCGTATTGCCAACGTTTTCACCTGGCTCCACGTCTGCCCACATGCTTCTATCTCCTCTTCAAATGACTTTGTGGGGATTGGCAATTTCTATCTCTGTATTGTTTAAATACTTACTGTTAATTGTTAATATATTCCATAGATGAATTGAATAATAATTCCGCCAAATACAAATTCCTGAGTTCATCCCTCTCTGTGTTTTGGTTGAATTCTTGTAATTCGGTCATTGCGAAATACTAATACTACTATTACAAATAATTACAACAGACCTCCTCCCTGTAACCCTCGCAATGACGACCAACTCGCCACTTCCATTCGGGTTCCACTGGTGCGATGGCCTGTTTCGTGATGTAACCTGATGATTTACTCAGAATATGGCTAATTCACCTCTATTTCTTCCTGCATATTTGTTTCACAATCTGTTCCTCTTTGGTTCGCTCCTAGAGATCCCTCACTATTGCTGATCTTTTCTTGCCGGCCATCTAATCTTGAGTATTGAGCGAAGACAGCTATTGATGAATGTCTGTAGTTTGTTCGAAGCGCCCTTTGTGACGCGGCGCCAAGTCTGTGATCCGTACGTTAAGTAACACTGACTTCACGCTGGAGTTGAAAATCCGGATCTTATATTTCCTGCTGAGTGCTGTCAATGTCGACATAGACTTGAGAGTAATGAAAGCTTGCCTTACTTTTCCGATCCTTGCTTTGATATCCCCGTCACTTCCTCCTGTATCCGAAACGATGCTTCTCAGGTGGATAGGTAAAGGAGGGTGCTTCTTTCAGATTTCTCCCATTTATGCTGATTGTTGTCTATGGTTGTTGCTGTTATTGGCGGCCAGGAATCTTCATCACCTCTGTTTTATCTATGTTCACCTTGAACTCTACCTTCGATGCTTCTTCTACCAACTTGCCGGATTACAGAGCACAAAATTAATTTTGCATTGAGCAGATCTACTATACAACCTTCTCAAGAAATCAGCTTACCACCGACTTTTTCTAAACTATTGAGTATAACCACTAGCAAATATATTTCACTCAGCAGATTATTATATTTAATTAAAAAGTAATATAATCGCAGATTATTGTATGGTGTAAGATTAGCAGCTAATCGTCTCATTATATGGATTTTTTACTACACCTCTTTACTGGTACTGAATTATTACCTCTCGAATTGTTATTTCATCATCATACTGATTCTAATATTCTTTGAAGCAGCGAATAAACTCCTTTTATTGTTTCTGAAAGTCATGTCTTTTCTAGTACCCAAAATGTTTTCAATTTTATCATCATGTCCACCAAGAATACTAAAATTTTATAGGTGATTCTACTGTCAACATGCTTTCTAACCCAGATTATAATTACTATCACTATTAAATAAAATCCAAATACTGGTGTCATCAAAAACAGAAATTTGACTTTAAATTACACCAAAAGGTTAAACATTTTCTGTCGAATGCAAAAGCAGTAAAGATTTACCTGTAGTACATTAGTTCATTTAATCTCAGGCAAGACTACTTATTTTTTTTATTTTTTAAACTACTATCACAAATATATCGCCTCATAGGGGTTAATTAAGTTATCAATGCTGTATTTCAGTACGCATTTTAAAATTAGGTTCATCAAATGATTTGCTGATAGGTAACGCTTTAAATATTGTACTTATTTAGGTTTCATTGCATCAAGTACTTTCGCAACATTCTCTCCTTAGGTAAACTGAATCGTGGCGATTGTTCTTTTGTTATCTAAATAGAATTATAATAACGCAAACACTAGTCATTTGTCTGCTGTTCCATTTGTAAAACTGTAAAAAGCCAGCTACCAAAACCAAGATCGTGACAGTAGTTGCAAGCGAGAACATTTCAAGAAAACGATACGAACAGTTATGTACCTCCAATTAAATCATAAAAACCACACATTATTTATTCTTTACTTAAGCTTCGGTGAGTTGTACTGATTATTAAGATACTGTAGCTTTTAACCGGGGCACAGTCAATACCTGTTAAAACATGCAATAAAAGTAAGTTGTAAAATACAATGATGAAAATAATCATTAGAACATACCGACTGCGGCATTGTTATGTAGGAATTTGAAAACCTTCTCTGTACCAATGACAAAACTTGTGACAGTTTTCCCTGGACGAAGTCTTTTGTTAGCATTTGTTACGGCTCCGCATTCAACCAGATGTATAACTCCATCTGAAAACATTTCAGTGTGAATTCCTAAGTCACGATGCTTTGTAAGCCTTGCTAATACGGAATCTGGAATAGCTCCAATACCTAAGGAATAAAATGAAGACAATAAGCCTTAAATAAAACTAGGAAACTAAAAATGAAGCTGGAAGTCAGCATTAGCTTCAAGGAACCCAAAGCAAAATGTATTGGCAGAATCATAACTATTTGGAAGTGTATATTCTAGGTGACTAACATAGACACTAGAAAACCACATACTTTGGGACCATTGGCCCTCAAACTATCTTATTTCATTGGGTTCATAGGCTAAATTATGGACAGAAAATGAAGTGAAAACTCAGTAACATCTTCCTAAAATTAATATTTCATAAAAAGCCTCCAGGCGACCTCGTCTAGTAAACTAGCTTGCTAGTTTTGTAGCCGGTTTCAAGCCCGGAAAAATGGGGAGGGTTGGGTGTGGGCTAGCAATCCGACAACATTAAACCTATCAGACCGCTAGAGAAACTTCAACGCACACAAAATATGTCGATAATACAATAAACTTTAAATAACAATCTAATTCTTCTCTCGAGTCGGATAGGCGAAATGACGTAGCGGGCTGGTGAAAGACTTCCTGAAGCCATTCAGCTAGCTGACATGTCATCTCTCGATGAAAACAAGAATAAGAATGGGGACGTGGAATGTCCGTACAATATGCGAAACTGGCTGGGAAGGCTGCTCAAAAGAAGAAGATATGACATACAGGTGCTGAGTATCTGCGAAAGCAGATGGAACCGATGTGGATTACCCAAATTGTCAACTGGAGAGTTAGTAGTATACTCCGGTCACCCAGATGACAACCACAAGCACACTGGGGCAGTGATTGCTATAAGGATGTCATCAGTGACAGCCAAAGGCCTAATGCAGTGGGAACCAATTCCATCCAGGATCACGACAGCAGGATTTAACTCAAGAGACAGGAAGGAAGGTCACAATTATCAAATGCTGCACACAGTGCTAGAAACAACGCGAAACAAGAGCAGAAGGAAGATTTTTTATAGACAACTACAAACAGTAATGGACCACATCCAAAATGGTGACATCAAAATCATCATGGGGGATATGAATGCCAAAAGAACTGGAAGCAGATAATACAGGAAGAGAACTAATCATGGGTCGAGAGGTTCTCACTTGGTGAAATGAATGAGAACGGAGAATTATTCGCAAACTTCTGCTCTTTCAACGATTTGGTGATCGAAGGGAGCGTGTACAAACACAAGGATATAATACACAAAACAACATGGATCTGGCCAGACTGACATACCACAAACCAGATAGATTTTATCTCGACGCTGCTCAAGGAAGTGGAGACGCAGACAGTCTGTTGGACACAAAGTCGAGAAGAAGAGCAGATGTAGGCTCAGGCTATCATCTCTTTCAAGGAACCTTTGAGGTGAAGCAGAAATCTTTCAGAACAACTGGAGACAGGCCACTGTAATCCAAGTTCAACATTTAGAAACTGAAGGACCAAACTACCAGGGATGCCTTCACTACAGATCAGATCACAGCAAACTCGGAGACACTACGTGGCATCACTGAGTTTACCTGTTTGGAAGAACACTGGAGCTAACTCTCTGAAGGCAATATCCAGGGAACGTGTACAAATGTTCTAGGGCGAAAGAAGAGGTGGGACAAGGAATGGCTATCAACGGACACCTAACTGGAAGCTAATAGGAGAGAGGAGAGAAGGATGATGAAAGAGAAGATGACTCAATGCAAAGATGAACAACAGAAGGAGAAGCTGAGTTCAATGTACACTGCAGTGAATAAAGAAAGAAGTGAAGAAGAGTGCTAAAAAAGACAAACGACTATTCTACGACATGCTGGCCGGCAGCTGAAGCAAAGCAGGCAGGCCACAGGCAGGTGTTAGAGACCTCAGGTTATAATATCAGATAATCAGGTCTCTATCCGGGAAGAGACCAACCCAGATGATGAAACACATAAAATGTGCTCAAGGGAACCTGATTATCAAGGAGGAGAGACAAATGAAACAATGGGCTGATAACTTTCAAGGAATCTTGAATCAACCATCACCTACAACTCGCCCAGAAGTAACACCAACAGCACGCACAGAACTGCCTGCCAGTGGACACAATCCTCCAACGAAAGAAGAAATCCTGAATGCGATCAAGCTACTGACCGTCGACCGGGAAGGCAGCAGGACCAGAGGAATTCCTAACAACCCGAAGCACTGCAAATGGACCCAGAGACTGGAGCAGATGCGCACACATCATTACTGCAAAAAATTTGGGAAGAAAAAAGGTGCCTACGGATTGGAAGAAGAGCTACCTCGTCAAGCTGCCGAGTGAGGGCAACTTAAGTTTCTGCAAGAACTGTTGTGGGATCATGCTCTTGTCCCCGTCACGTAAAATACTAGTTTGCGTCATCCTAAAGAGAACAAAAGATGCACTGGATGCAGAAGTCCACCTCATTGGAACAAGCAGGATTCAGGGAAGGTAAATCGTGTGCTGATCAAATCGCAACTCTACGCATCGTCATCGCACATAGCATGGAATGCCAGTCAAACCCCTACCTCAACTTCATCGACTTCGAAAAGGCCTTCGACAGACAGCGTTGACCGAGAAGTAATTTGGAAACTACTTCAACACTACGGCGTGCAGTGTCCCGAATCCTTATCAACCTCATTCAACAGCTGGCTATGTAACAGTACCAGGTGTCAGGTAATCCCCAACGGGAAACTCAGTGAGGCGTTCGAAGTGCATACAGGAGTAAGACAAGCTGCCTGTTTATTATAACCGATGATATTCTTAGTTGTGGTGGACCGGATTAAGCATCACATTGTGCACTGTGAGCGAAGAGACAGGAATACGCCGGACCACTAGTGAGAAGACTCTAGAAGATCTGGATTTCGCAGATAATATATGTCTAATGTCACAAAAACTCGAAGATTTAGAGGTAGGTGAAAACCAACAAGCTGGCTAAAGAAGTTTTCAGTGGAGATATGACTGCATGTGAACATAGAGAAGACGGAGGTGATGAAAATAATCAACCAACAGCAGCAGCAACAACAAAAACAGCCAACACCAATCACCACCAACGGGAGAGACTTAACAGAAGTTACGTCCTTCATTTATCTGGCCAGGAGGCACAGTTTTAACCACAGGCAACATGAATGAAGATGTGAAAGCTAACCAGAATCAGAAAGACGATATACGCCTTCATTAATCTGAAACTAGTTTGGAAATCTTCTGCACTCAGCATAGGGAAAAGGATTAGAATTTTCAACACCAATGTCAAGTTGATCTTTCTATAAGGGTCAAAAACTCAGGGCGTAACGAAAATGATTTCCAACAGGTTGCAGACTTTTTTCAACAGCTGCCTGAAGATCAAATGGCCAGAAAGAATTAGAAACAAGAAACTCTGCAGTGAAACAAGCTAACCAAGAGCCAGTCGCTCAACGAATATGTAGGAGAAAGTGGAGATGGATCGGGTGTACACTGAGGAGATCGTTGAATGACATCGCGCCAGATCATCGCTCGAGTGGAATCCAAATGGGAAGCGATGAGTTAGTCGTCGGTACTAGGATGACATCGAGGAGATCGTGTGAGGAAGAGATTAGAGTTTGAGCAGTTGCGGACCCAGTTGAAGAGGAGGGCATAAAATAGAGGAAAGTAAAGATATGTTGTTGAAAGTGTATGTTCCAGTCGGAACCCTAGGGTACAATAATAATAAAACAGAAATTTATCAAAGGTTCGTAAATATTCACTAACCTGTTTGCAGAGTAGCACCATCATCGACTAGATTCTCAGCAATCAATGCACCAATCTTTTCCTCAGCTTCAGATACTGAACGTGGCTGCATACAGTGACAAGGCATATCACCATGAATAACAGAAGTGAAGTTGCTTATGTGTATATGGGCATCTCCAAAAGTTACTGGCAGGCTTGGATTAATTTGACCTGCAAAATCTGTTTAGAATGGGAGGATTTACCGACAAGGTGCTGAGCGGATTCAACGGCACCACGAGTGACATCTACACTCGGACCGAGTGAGCAAAACCCGTTGTGGTCTGGTGGACTGATGTTCAACAATGCAGCATCCAATTTTATGATGTTTTTACGAAATAGTTGAGGGATTTCACTCAGAAAGATTGGAATATAGTCAGCTCTTCCATTTTCGATTGGTTCTCTGCAGTTGCCACCTGTGAAAATTTAATGAAGTTGTGTGGTTCTTTATACCTGTGAATAACGACACAGACCGAAGATGTCCAGCTGCTTCTGCATTGGTAATTGGAAAAGGTCCTTCTGTATGTATATGATAGGCTGTTATGTTTTTGAGTTTTTTATCCATTACATACTTATAAAATTCAGAGATAAGTATCGTTGGTGTAGCTGCACCGCCATGAATAAACACTTTGGCATCTTATTTTGAACAAACTGATCAACAAACTAAGCGACAAACCATCTTTTAAGAAAAGAAAGCTTCTTTTCCATTTGACGACTGAATCGGTGATTTTCCCACAGCGATAGCGAATGGCTGCCTTAGTTTAATTTTTTCAGGTTTACATAGTGTACTCAAATGTACTGCTGTCAAATATTCGTTTAATAAGGTTTTAAAGCGGCTGTTTCTGCTGCAGACTTGGCGATAGGCTGAAAACATTTACTTCTGTGTTCAAGAAAGAGAAAAACTGCTGTCAGTTATACATTTAGGAGTAAAAACAGTATCATCAATTTCAGAAAAGCAACTTTATTAGCGGTACATTGGACTGGCTAGAAAATTCATACTTAGATTTTCACCAAGCGGTAAACCCAGATGTGTGTTTCTCGATTTGCTCTAGGATATGCTTTTGAAAAATAGCTTATACTTACGAATCAACTTGATTACTTGTATACTGTTCAGTCAGACTCCCAGTGATGTACTTTTACCTGGTTGGACTGCACACATATTAGACTTATTCAGTAACTGTAGATTAGGAGTATATACAGTGTCAGTGAAGATCAATCTGCGGCTGTGGGTATTTTAATAAATCAGACATAAATTTATCCAGTCCTCAAATAATATGCGAGATTAAAGTTAAAAATCCTAGAAGTTCGCAGTCAAACACAAATTAAGGGGCATTCATAAAGACAGGTGACTTTTCTATATTTGCCAAACAGATCTTATAGTGCTACTAAGTATTCAGTGCTTTGTACATAGTGCATTGTTCTTAAGAGTATCTTGCTTGGCTCAGATATAGAAGTTACGTTATATCTAAAGTGATAAACAGACCCTGACAGCACTTTTATGTGTGGCATATAGAAAGGAAATAAGAAAAGTTATCTAGTAGCATTAGTATTAGTTTCTTTTTGTTTCTTGTCTGTTTCATGAATGCTAAAATAAGCTCGGGAAAAAACACAGAAGAATCAGGAGTTCTAGTAGTGGGACATTTTGCTGATTCATTTTTCCGGTGCATTCTGTACTTATTTGAATAACCAGAAAATATCAGCGAATAAAGTCATTTCATTCCGTTCAATAAGTAGCTAAAGGACATCACAATTACAAGGTATCCGCTAAAATATTTCGAGTGGACATGTGACTAGGTTCCAGTTACTTCACCTGGGTTTAAGCGTATTTAATGCCTTGTGGAGTCACTAAATCAGATTTTGTTTGGGTGTGATTATATGCTGCACTTTTTTATGAAAACTGCATTTCATGATAATATATTTAGTTACTCAGCACATGCTTCAAAAATAGCAACCATACTTAAAACCATTCATAAGGTACTGATTGCGCCCAGGAGTGGGGTTCGGACGTCCCAGCTATTCTTTTTATATTATTCGCGAAAGAAGAAGTAATATTATATTGTCTAATAATCTGCAGCTATCTGTTACCACCTGAAAAGTTTTTAATTTGTAAGCTGGTTTAAATTTAAATGGACGTTTGTCCTACAGGTTCAGCAGCTTAAATTAGTTGCCGTAACATGCAGTAGCAAATCCCTCATAAGAAGTAATTTTACTAGGATAAAACTCATGGCTACCAACTGCTAATGGCTGACATTACTTATGAAGAGAAGAATGCAGCATGTGTGTATGGTGAATATAGGCAGCAAAATAACTAAATTCATGTATATTATAACGGTTTTCTTCCTTTTTAGTGCGGATAAAACGTAGTCATTTTGCAACTAATTATTTCGTTTCTCAGGAATGTTTTGACTGTAGTAGTGGTAAATTACAGTGAGTACGCTACTGAGGATTAACTGACACCCTTTATTTTTATCGATCATTTTATTTATTGATATAACGACTAGCTGTCCTGTTCTGAAAAAGATTTGTAGTTGGCTCCTGAAGTCTGAACAAAATCAGATCCTTTTACCTTGAACTCAGAATTCACTGGGCTATTCATGGACTGTTTTACAGATAAAGCTTCTCTTGAATATGAAACTTCAGCACGCAAATGTAAATGAAACTATTATTAGAAAAAATGACAAAGAACGAAAGATTTTTGAAAGACATATATATGCAGAATACTGTTATTATGTTACAGATTACCTAGTTACGTATCACCATATAAGGTAGTCATTCAACTCCTTGTATTCAGATCCTTAAGTAACAACAGGAAACAAACGGTTTGGGGTTATCTACCACATATACATTGCATCAAACAGTTTTGATGATTTTAAAATCTATCAGTATTTCGAATAATTAATTTTAGACAGCTGGGAATATTTAAATATGATAAGTAAAAATATTTAAGCTTTTTCAGCGATTACTTTTACGTCCACTTATTTGATGCACCTAATAAATATCATCAAGAAAATAAATGATATAGGAAAACTGAAAAAAGAATGGAGTTGATGTACTGAGAATCAACAGTTAAAACACAGTTATTCTCGCTAATGTTAACTGAAAAGTATCAAAGACATACTAAGAAAATGACATGCATATGAATATCCTTAATCATTTCGCAAATTTGAAAACTGCTACTCGACATATATCTGATGAGTGACACTATTGATGAAGCTCACGGAAATTATTGTTATTTATCAGTATATGCCTTTCTGAATTAAGAATATGTATCATTCCATGCGTATATATATATATATATATAACAAATTAATGATAGTATTTTCCGAAGTTTGGGATGAGTTTTCGTAAATGAAACATTAGCTGAAGCTATGAAAAATAACTGTATTAGGTATGAAAACGAAAGTATAATATCAGTTATCGATGTCAACTGACTCCTTGATATACGCGAACACACCTTTCGTGACCTCGAAAGTTCAAAATGCTGCTCCGGTTTATACTCTAAAACTAGTTGATACAAACAAAATAATGTAGCATTTGAAATTCGGCAGTATTATCTATCTCCCGAAGAAGTCACCTGTTATATGCATTTCACTGGTTCATGTAAAAAAGAGCAGTGGATTGTCTGAAAATGAGGAATTGTTTACAAAACAGTACAACTTATAACTCTTTGGGGTTTAATCATTTGTCAATCAGATTGAGATTCAGATGATAAGAATAGTAGGCTCTTGTGGACTGTGTTAATCCTTGCAAAATGTATCTCTGCAGAGATACCACCCTGTGAGAGAATTTAAATTCTGCACATATATTAACCATCGTAGTTAAGAATGAGGACTGACTTACAGGCGGTAAAAGTTGACTTTAGGAAAGACTGAACTATAGGCATAATTCCTGAAGAATTGGTAGCATCAGATCAAAACAAGGAAATATTTTGATACTAATATCACATGAAGTCGCTGATGTCTTACCATAAAGCAAGGTGGAATACGTCTTGGATTTAGTTCGGTGTGAAAAATATACACAGAAATGAACAGTATATAAAGTAACAATTCCAAAGAAATGTTGGTATTTTATCTGCTTAGTTTTCCACATTGTATCTTCAGTGCTTTTACTATGACTTCTAATAAAACCCTGGAGGTATGCATAAAATAGACTTGTGGAGTCCTCAAAAATAAACTTATCCAAATTTTACTACTATGTAAATAATGAACATATTGTACACTACTTTGTTTTAACCAAAAACTCTGTACTTTGAACTTTACCTCGGGTTTTGAATAAATATATAGTTCTGCCTTCGACTCTCCGTCTTCTCCACCATCTCAACTGCCGTCGATCAATCCTAATCACCTGCTTTCTATCTCTGATTTTTGCAGGAGCACCGTAGTTCTTCCTACGTACTTTGGTCGACCTCCGGCAACGTTAACATTGGAGAATTACTACTGGAGCAGTCTTTCCGCAGCACCTGGAGTCTATTACGTTTATTGTGGACTTTGGATCTTTGTAAACTCAAGTAATCAAACTTTAATACATTCTTCCCGTAACTAAACTCATTTGGTATTTTATTTTCTACTTGAATTTGGGTAACTAAGCTAACAGAGTGAAAGGTCCACCACAATAATTGGTGAGCCCGTTTCGAACCTTTTTTTTATGGTTAACCCGTTTTCGAACCTTTTTGTTTCGATAGTTACCTCGTTTTGAACATTTTTGTTGCTATTTTGGCCTTATAAACTCGCACTGCTTTAATTTTTGTTACCACAAGTTTTTCTATTTTGTGTATCTCTATACTTATATATTATATGACAATGGCTCCACCTAAACGTACCACTGTTGCTGAAGAAGGTAATAAAGGCGAAGAGACACAGAACTCTGCTGTTAACGCCTTGCCGGATTTAAGACTTCCTCAATTTGATCTGGCTGAACCACGTGTCTGGTTCACAATTATTGAACAGTTGTTTGCAGCTCGAGGTATTACGTCGCAGATCGCCATGTATGGTTGCGTATTAGCAGCAATTCCCACGGAAGTACTACGAGAGGTTATCGATGTCATAGACAGCAAACCTACAGACTCTCAATATGACAAACTAAAAGCTGCACTCATCCAGCGGACCACTCTCTCCGATGAGAAACGCATACAACAACTACTTACTTCGTGTGATCTAGGTACAAAAAAGCCATCTCAACTACTTAGACATATGCGCCAGTTGATTGGGTCACACAAAGTAGATGAGTTAATTCTACGTCAGATGTTCTTACAACGTTTACCACAAAATGTTCAACAAATCCTAACAATATCTTCTAGGACGACAGACCTTGAAGAATTAGCTAAAATGGCAGACGATATCATGGATGTGTTATCAAATAATGGCATAAATAGCGTGTCTACAGAGGCAGTACCACCAAGCCCTTCCACATCTATGAAGGACGCACCAATGTTTTGGTTACTTTCCCAGTTAACATCTCAAATGCAAGATTTACGACTGGAAGTGTCCGAGCTTCGAGCACAAAGGAACCAGTCACATACGGTATCCAAGCAACGGCGATCAAGATCTAGACGACGTTCTAGAACACCGTCTCAAAGCCGTAACATTTGTTGGTATCATAGGAGGTATGGGCATAATGCCCTGAAGTGTATTCGACCGTGTATGTACAACAGTAGTAACTCATCTCAGGGAAACTCCCCAGCCAGACAGTAATGGCGACGGCTGTTAATGGCAATCACCCCAGTCGCCTTTTCTATGTGAGGGATTTGACTACCGGCACATTATTCCTGGTAGATACAGGCGCCGAGGTCAGTGTTATTCCCCCCTCACTATCCAGGCGATCAGCCAAAATACCTGGAAAACTTTCACTCCGTGCTGCCAACCAAACCAACATACAGACGTATGGCGAACAGTCAATGATTTTAAATTTAGGACTACGCCGACGTTTCACATGGATCTTCATAGTAGCTGACGTACGTCACGCTATACTAGGTGCAGACTTCCTAAGTCACTTCAATCTGTTAGTTGATATCAGCAAGAAAAAACTGGTTGACAATTGCACCCAACTCAAGATCCATGGTATTACATGTGACTACTCGGTTCATAGCATCTGTATAGAAAAGCCGGAGAGTGAAATGTTCTCTGCTTTATTGAAACGATTTCCTAAAATCCTTAAACCATCATACAACGTTGAAGATATATCTCATACAGTTACGCATAAGATCATCACAACAGGACAACCTGTGAAGGCACGTCCACGACGGTTACCACCCGATAAACTAGCAGCAGCTAAGTCGGAATTTGAACATATGATGCAGCTAGGTATCATACGACCATCTAACAGCCCATGGTCTTCACCTCTGCACATGGTACCTAAAACTAATCATGACTGGCGACCATGTGGAGATTATCGCGCTTTGAATAACGCTACGGTCCCAGATCGTTATCCTATACCTCATCTCCACGACTTCTCCTTGACCTTACATGGAAAGACCGTTTTTACCAAAGTTGACTTGGTCAGGGCATATCATCAAATACCAGTCGCTCCAGAAGACATTGCAAAAACAGCAATTATTACGCCTTTTGGATTATTCGAATTCTTGAGAATGCCTTTCGGACTAAAGAATGCTGCTCAAACATTTCAGCGTTTTATGGACCAAGTTACCCAAGGTCTTGATTTCGTCTTTGTATATATCGACGATGTCTTAATTGCCAGCTCATCGATGGAAGAACATATGCAACACTTAAGCCTGTTATTTCAAAGGTTTGAACAATTTGGAGTTGTTATCAATCCAAAGAAATGTATTTTTGGTTCCCCTTCCATTGAATTCTTAGGACATCGAATAACTGCCGAAGGCATCAGACCTACCGAAGATAAGATAAAAACTATTAAGAACTTTCCCGAACCTGATTCCTTAAAGAAACTTAGACGTTTTCTCGGGATGTTCAACTTCTACCGACGTTTTATTCCATCATGTGCCTCCATAGTTCAGCCACTGACCGACCTACTTAGATGCAATTCGAAGAAATTTCAGTGGTCTGAAGAAGCAAAAGCAGCATTTAATAATGCAAAAGATGCCTTATCCAACGTTGTAATGTTATCTCACATCAACCCAGAAGCTTCACTCATTTTATGTACAGATGCATCGCAGGTAGCAGTGGGAGCAGTTTTACAACAAAAGTTCAATAATGACATCACTCCACTTGCTTTCTTCTCCAAAAAGTTGGAACCTGCGCAAACTCGTTACAGTACCTTTGGCAGAGAACTGTTAGCCATCTACCTAGCAGTGAAACATTTCAGCTTCTTACTACAAGGTCGACATTTTACTATCTTAACCGACCATAAGCCTCTTTGTTATGCTTTCACCACTTCGTTGGACAGACACTCTCCGAGAGAAGCCAGACAACTGGATTACATCTCACAATTCTCAACAGACATCCAGTTCATCAAAGGAGATTCCAATATCGTAGCCGATTCTTTGTCTCGATGTGACGTTAATCACCTATCTTCGATAGATATTAGCTTAGACAATATTGCCAAGCTGCAGAAAAATGACGCCGAACTCCATACTTGTAGACGAAACTCCTCCCTACAGTTGCAGGATGTACCTATTCCCCTGTCTGATACAACTATCGTCTGCGACGTTTCAACGGGCGTTCATAGACCTTTTGTTCCACTAAGTTGTCGAAAACCTTTGTTTGAACATCTACATTCATTGTCTCATCCTGGAGTGCGTGCTACAGTCAAGTTGATCAGCGAGCGTTTTGTTTGGCCCAAGATGAACTCCGATATTCGGAAATGGGCCCGCCAATGCTTGCAATGTCAAAGATCCAAGGTACATCATCATACCGTCACACCTCCAAAACAGTTCAATTTACCCGATAAACGATTTCAACACGTTCATATAGATATTGTTGGACCATTACCGCCATCCAGAGGATTTACTCATATACTTACTGCGATTGATCGATTTACCCGATGGGCTATTGCTTGTCCACTCAACGATATATCTGCAGAAAATATCGCTTTGGTTTTCTTAGATCGCTGGGTGTCAAACTATGGAGTACCCACAACTATTACAACAGACCGAGGAGCTCAATTTCAATCAACTCTGTTTCGAGAGTTTACGAGACTCCTTGGAGTGAACCATATCTCCACTACAGCTTATCATCCTGCAGCGAATGGTCTGGTGGAACGTTTCCATCGACAACTGAAAAGCTCGCTTATGGCACAAGCTGACTCATCTAAGTGGAGTGAACACCTACCATTAGTTCTTCTCAGTATCCGATCAACTGTAAAAGAAGATTTGGGATGTACACCAGCTCAACTTGTGTATGGTACTACCCTCACATTGCCTGGTCAGTTAGTTCCGTCTAATGATTCAACTGAAGTAAATATCTCCGACTTCACCAACCGCCTTACCCAGCATATGCTTCAGCTTAGACCAGTAGCCCCTCGCCAATCACTTCAGAAAGCTCAAGTAAATAAGAATCTACTCACTAGCAAATTTGTATTTGTTCGCGTCGATGCC